ATTTCAATGGTTATCCTAGAAAAAAAAATAAAGTTAAACTTTAAGGCTTCGTCCATTTTTGACCGTGAGGAAAGGAAGTGTTACCCATTTACAAAGAAGCCCAGATGAGTATTTATGTCCGGATAGTTTTATTTGTTTTGACGACATTTTCGCTTGTACATCGGGATTTTTCAAGTAAATGTAAAGGAAATTGATGACGACTGCAAGTCTGCGTACAATGATGATTTGAATTTTAGTTGCTATAACGATGCGTGTTGGTTTATTGAAATTTATTTGTTTACACTCACATCGCAAATCTTTTGCTCGAGAGACGAGGCGAATTCAGAGAGTTTTTGCCGAGTATTTTCTGTGCAGATTTCGAAGCTATTTGGAGAATTCCTGAGAAAAACTGAATCATCTTGGAGGAGTAGATCGGAGGATCCTTTCCCTTTTTCCCACTCTTTCTTTTTTTAAACATTATCTTATTTCTGAGGAGGCTTATATCTAATTGTTATTATCTGGGAGTTAAACTAGGAGTTTTGTTATTTTATGTAATTTTTTATTTAATTTATTTGTTTTTTTAATTTTTTTTGTTTTATTTATTTATTATTTTTATTTATTAATTTGATTTATTTTGGTAGTAGTTTCTGAGGAGGGTTGTACTGTGTTATTTTTTGTATTGTATTTTGAAATTAACTTCTTGTTTCTATTGCAGGTTGACGTTGATGGCTCAGAAGAGTGAAAGACGAGGTGAGTGCTCTACTTTTCATTTGTTTATGTTTTGGTATGATGATGATGAACTAAATGAATGTGCTGAAACTTGTGCGAGATAACTTATTTGATCCGCCAAATTTCTCAGCTAAGTGATCACGTATTTGATTCCTTATTGCATGTAAAATAAACCTTTCAATTTTGAGCAACTTTATAGGAGCAATTTATAACTGACTGCTGACATTGAACATTCATTGATTATTATCAAAACATTACTAACTATGTGATGTCTGAAATATTCTAGGCTTAGCCCTCTCCAGATCCGGGAGAGCTGCTTCCACTCAGACGGCTGGTCTGGAGGTTTGGAGACTCAGTTCTGACGGTTCAGCTCCTCTGTCTTCTGAGTTTTCTGGTTCTGTGTTCACAGGTCAGGATCACCGGAAGAGGCAGAGCGGCAGCCAGCAGAACCCAGATGGTGGATGTACGTCCACTTCTATTATAACAATATACTTATAACAAGTGACCTCTGACATTGATTATTTATATTATTTAATAAAAAACAACAACTGTTTTTGATATTTGAAATATTCCAGTGTCAGGCCGCTCCAGATCCAGTCAGAGAGTCGGAGAGTTGAGTCTTAGCAGCAGGGGGTCATGCATCGTTGAGTGGAGGTGGAGTGGCTTGGGATCGGACGGCCCAAGCGAACAGAACAGTTGTGGCCTCTGGAGTTTGTCCGCGTCCAACAGCCTCCGAGAGATGATGTGTCCTCCGCTGCCAGGTCAGGTTCTTGTGGAGCCAGCAGTGACCGCTAATGGTCTGATAGCTCAGGGTGCCGTGGAGGCGTCTCCTGCCAACAAGAGCTCAACCGGTGAGATTGAAATAGGAGTGAGGGGTGTAAAGTGTACTGATTTTCCTATTTTATGCATAAGACTGCTTCAAGTATTTAACAGGTTAATCTCTAGTCATATTTACCGTTGCTCAGCATAATTTAGCTAACGTTAAAAATGTTCTTTTTGTTTCCATAATGTTTGCTAAATTATTAAACAGAATGTTTCCGTAACATTTGGAATTGCAAGAATTCTTTTTAAGACTCAATACTAAATATTGTGAAATAAGAGTTTGGGACATTTATGCAGGCATTAAGCAGAAGCAGGGCCGTCGTATAATATTTGCATTACTTGGATTTGTAATATTACAGATAAGAATCGAACAGTAACGTGTAATTTTGTCATTGTTTAATTTGAGGTCAGAGATGTTGTCTTTTCAATATTTTTTTTCTACATTTCAGAATATAGGGAGAAGAAAGGACTTTGTGGTTTCCTCAGGAGGGTGTGGAAGGCTATGAAACGGCATTTCGGCTGCCGTTGTCACTGCAGTGCTGTGAATGTTGTGGAGCCTTTCATCCCTCCACCAGATCTGGACCCAGAGCCTGACCCAGATCACTCAGCCGTCAAGCACAATCATGGTAAATCTACAGTCATTATTTCTTGATCATTATTTTAAACAGTATTGTTGTCTTGTATTCCACTAAAAATATATTAAGGCTTGTTTTCTGAGAATAATATTATTCTCCCCATATTAATGTCATAAAAGGTAACTACAGGGGTTAAGATTAGGTTTAGGTGAAGGTGCGTATCAAGTACCCAGTTATTGTAATAACTTTAATAAGTACATGAGGAACAGGACTGTGAAATAAAGTGCTACCGGTAACACTTTATTTTAAGGTGACGTAGTTACAAATTAGTACGTCATCTACTTACTAAAGTACAGTAAATTATGCATACTTAACTAATCCTAACCTTAACTCTATTGTAAGTACATGTAGTCAATTCATATTACTTGTCTGAGTCAGTAACCTTTTATTGTTATTTTCAAAGGATCTAGCGAGCTTATTTATTTCTAATATTGTTTCTGTTTTTCAGAGTCCTTTGCTTCTCTCTTCGAGGTAGGAGAGATGATTGGGTCCGGGGGATTTGGCAGGGTGTACGAGGGAATGCGGAAGCTTGATGGCAAAAAGGTAAATATTACCGAACTGCAGAAACATTTTTGCAAGTACAATTTACAGATCGTGGTTTGATACCTAGTGCAAGGTCAGGTGCCTGAATACTGTTACTGTTAATGAAACATTTTTTGTTTGTTTTTTTGCAGGTTGCCATCAAGCAGATCAGCAAGACTGACAACAATCGTTATCTTGCTATAGTAAGTTGTTGAATGTGTATTTAGTTGTTTAAGTGCTGATTACTGTAGTCAATACACCTGTAGGAAGCATTCGCTGTACATGTTACAGACAAGTAAGCCTAGACGCACCAAATAACTTTAAGCTGAAAAGGCTCTGTATCTACAGAGGTCAAAGAAAAAGTACATTAAAAAAATGAGATTTGTACCTAGCTAATCTTCTCTCTTCTACTTTTCTCTAGCCTGGGCATCCCGAACCTCTCGTAACAGAAGTGGCGCTGCTTCTAATGATGAGGCAAGAACCCAGAAGCCCCCACGTCATACAGCTGTACGAGTGGTTTGAACACCCTCGAAAATTCACTCTCGTCATGGAGTACCCCGAACCTTGTGAGAGCTTGTTGGACTTAATGCACCGTAGCTTTGAGCTTGATGAACCAACGGCACAGGTCATCATGAGACAGGCTGTGCTGGCAGTACAACACTGCATCGAACATGGCGTCTTTCATAATGACATTCATCCGGGAAACTTCCTGATCAACAAAAACACGCTAGAGCTCAAGCTGATTGACTTTGGGTGCGGTCAGCTTCTTAGTAGTGACGGCTACGAGAGCAGAGTATACTTTGGTGAGCATTTTGGCAGTGTGGAAACCTGAATGTAGTGACCTACTGATTATTTGACACTTTGGAAAAACAAAAAAGCTCAACAACGTGCGAATGTCTTGCTTACAGGATTAAGAACTTACTACCCACCTGAAGTCTTCACGGATAGGAGATTCCACGCCGTCCCAACAAATGCCTGGGCTCTAGGCGTGTTGTTATATGAGATGACGAACGCATGTCCTCCTTTTGTCAGTAGAAAGGAACTCACACGGGGCAAAGTTATATTTGTGAACCCCAACTTATCCAAAGGTGAGTGAATAATATTGAAATCTTTGATAAGCACACACATAAAGCAAAGGCTCTGTACAGAAACAGTTAAAGGTGAAGTAATCTATATGTAAGATTTTTCTGAACCAGTAAGAGTTGCCTTTGTGATGTTTGAGGCGTGAAGCATGCATCCCTTTGATGCAGAAACTCTATACTTCACCTTTAAAGTAAAGATAAAGAACATGTTACCTTACATTAATCATGTTTAGATGCCAAGTCACATGCTCATCATGACTAACCAGCTCTCTTCTTATTATTATTGGTACAGAATGCAGTGATCTGATTAGGCAGTGCCTTACAAAGGATCCAACTAAACGGCCGACGTTAGATCAGATCTTACAGCATAAATGGATTAGAGAATGATCTTCTTGTAGATTGGACAAGTTCAGGAGATTTCAGGTGTGAGGAAGTAGAACAGTCAGACAGAGTAGGATTGTTCTCATTTATCATTTATCTATTTTCAGATATGTGGAGTGAACAGAGTTTATTTTAATGTTGTTGTCATAGTCTAGTCACTTTCTTTTATATAGCGCTTTATACAGTACAGATTGTTTCATGCAGCTTCATGATATTAAACAGGAAAATAACAGAATCAGTGATGCAAACAGAATTCAATTCTGCTGTAAAAACTTTTATGTGTTGACATGTTCTTATAATCTTTGTTTTGGACAGGAAATAACAAACTTGCTGTCCTTGGTGGAGGGCTTGAGCTCGTGACGTGACCCGAAGCTCGAAATCCAACTCGCCAGGGAACTCACGCCGCCACACCAGAGAGCTCAGAGCCTGGCAACACGGGGGATCTTGCGGACAGTAAACCAATCAAGAAAAATTTGGGATGTGCGGACTGGAGCGGTTCAAAAGCCACACCAGGCCGCTCCGCTTATTATCGCTCGGCGCTTAACGCAGTTTGCTTCGCGTTCCACTCAAATTTTCCAAACAGAAATGTTTCATTTCAAATTACATATTAGGACTAGCCTATGTGAGAACAGGAATGTAGCCTACACAAAAAGTCCTGTAAAATTAAACGAATAAATGGGCCTAATAATATGAATTTAAAATTGTAAACAAAAATATACATAAAAGTTTTAAAAGTAAGTTAACTAAAGGCCAGAATTTTGATAACTGAACTTTTGCTCAACGCGCACGATAAAAAATTAAATTATAGCCATTGTACATACAAACTACTGTAAAATTAAACGAATTTGGACCAGTTTGGCATCGAACAACCAGCCGAACGACTTTTAAAAAAACTTTTGCTGATAATTTACTCACCCCCATGTCATGTCATCCAAGATGTCCATGTCTTTCTTTCTTCAGTCGAAAAGAAATTAAGGTTTTTTGCTTTAAACGATTCCAGACGAATAAGGGTCTTATCAAGTGAAACGATCGCTCATTTAATAAATAAATAACAAAGTTTAAGTTTTATAAGTTTGAATGCTCGCCTTGCTCTGTTCTTTGACGCACATTGTGACTCTCCTGTTCGAACTCAAAATGAACGAATCTTTTTCTGAGTATAAATAAAAATTTGGTTCATTCAACATTGATGCATTTTGATGTGAGCATTTGAGCTTATAAAACTTAAACTTTGTTCTTTTTTTAAATGAGCGATCGTTTCGCTTGATAAGACCCTTATTCATCATCTGGAATTGTTTAAAGCCCTTTGAACAGTTTGCATTTTGCACTGAAAATGTCTTTTGGACCTTGAACCGTTTGGTTCCCATTGAAGTCCATTATATGGAGAAAAATGCTTGAATGTTTTTATCAAAAACCTTAATTTCTTTTCGACTGAAGAAAGAAAGACATGGACATCTTGGATGACATGGGGGTGAGTAAATTATCAGCAAAAATTTTTTTAAAAATGAACTACTCCTTTAAAAAAGATATCACAGTTTCTATATAATATAATATAATATAATATAATATAATATAATATAATATAATATAATATAATATAATATAAATAAAGTTGTCCCCCGAAGATGGGGGGTGGAGGTGGTAAAAAAAATTAAACAAATAAATGGGCCTAATAATATAACCAAAAATGTAAAAAAGATATACATAAATGTTTAAAAGTAATTAATTATTAGGTCAGATTTCGATAAGCCTAACTGAACTTTTGTGCAGCGCACCCTATTAAAATTTAAATTGGCTTAGGCCTAAATCAGTTGTACACAAAAAAAGCTGTAAAATTAAACGAATCAATGCGCCTAATTATATAAATAAAAATTTGGCTATAGGCCTACATCAAAGTGTTAAATTAAAAAGTAAATTAACTATTAGGCCACCAGACTTATATCTATCTGAACTTTTGCGCAGAGAGCACGTGGATAACAGTTTAAATTGGCTCAAACTTAAAAAAAGAGAAAAGAATTGCTTTCCATATCTAGCCTATAGAGCGACGCTCTGTTCTTTTTAAAATGCCGCTCTGCGCTCTGTCCAAGATCCGCCCGCTCGTGCTCCCCGCTCGCACGCGCTCCACTCCGCTCACATTCTCTGGATCCTAAAGTTAAGCCAAAGGGTACAAACACACTGTAGGGTTACAAATGTATTAAAATCTAGATTTCCCATACCAAAGAAGTGTAGTAGTGTGAATTATTTTAACTAAGGTAAATGTCACAAATCTGTCCTGATCTTTCTATTGGAAGTTAAATTGATACCATCACCTTGTGTTTATTAGGTTACCACCACAAGGGCTGGAGAAAGAGGGGACTGTGTTATTCCTCTCCGAAAAAGTCCATTTAGATGCTCTGTATTTTCAGTGTTAGCTACAAGGGAATAGAACTCCATCAATAATTAGAAGACTGGATATACATATGGTTATTTTAAGTTTCATCTAAAGAAGAAAAAATGTCAGTCTTGAAGCTTATTTGAAGAGTTCACAGATTCTATCATCATTATTTACTCCAAAGTCTTATGCCTACCACTATTTTTACAGTGGGACACAGTTTTGGGATTGCCTGGTTCAACCAGACTCTCATACATTTCATTTGTACAGAGAGTCGGGCCTCTCTCGTTGAGAAACGTTTACTTCCTTGTAGGCGGGTTCTCTGTTAAAGTTCAAAACTATTGGATCTGCCTAGAGTCACTCAGGATCTCCCATAGCCAATCGCTAACGTGTGGTCGGCCGGCAACAATAAGTCCGAATGATCAGACTCACCAGCAATATACTGTAATTATACGCTATTACTTCACAGCCATTTATTGTAAAAATAAATGCAGTACATGTGTGTGATTATTACAATTTACAATACACTCTAAAATGTGTAATGTACACATTTTTGTAAAAACAACACACAGGAAATTACTACAGTAAAAACACAGGCAGTTATAGGCTGGTGAACATTTATTTTCAACGCATTCTCATCCTAGGGCGTCATGTAGGTGACGCTTTTGACATGGCACCCTTTAGCGTCAATAGCCTATAACACGCTTCGGTTATGAGTAGGTTTAGGTCTGGTGTAGTGTTAGGGTTAGACCACTATGAGGCGCCTTCTAGCCCATATGGTCCTTCTCAAAAAATTAGCATATTGTGATAAAGTTCATTATTTTCCATAATGTACACAAGTTTAAATTTAGATTTGATTACCACAGTTTTTGATAATATATTTGGATTCAATTATAAAAAGAAACATTAATTTTCTAAATAAAATACATAGGACAATATTATTCTTAAATATTTTATTAAATTATTAATGTTAAAAATAAGTTGTTAATTTACTTCATTATCAATTATCGAATTTAATTGATTTGATCAGACATGTTTTATTGAAATTTTAATTTAAATTTCATTGAAGTAAGTAGTACTTTTACTTGAGTAGAATATTTTATTACTCTGCACCTCTGTTCGTTGCTAAACTCAGGGGCGCCGTAAAGGGGGGTAAACGATGACGATTCTTGGGGCCCATGACTAAGAGGGGGCCCAGAGAAGCCCCCAATAAAATTGTGGTTCTAAAAAATATATTTGATTGTTAAAATGATTAACTTTAAATTACTTTTTTTTGCGTTTTCCTGGTGTCAAAAAATGATTTTGTTTAGGAAACACAAACGTCCGTGGGCCTCTCTCAATTATCATAAAATGGTTCAGTCCACCCAAATTGTATCCAGGCAACGTATTTTTACACTCTGATTGTGTGAGACGTATACACACTTGGACAGATTCGGCTTGAGCAGTATATTTACAACAGTCTGAAACAGGTGTTGGCTGAAGCTCTTGCTTATCATGCCTATCCTTTTTTGAAAACATCTCTTATTTAAAAAAATAAAAGTAAAATAATTATTGTCTTACATCATTATAATCTTGACAAACAAATCTAAAAAAAATGTATTTCCTAAGCAATACATTTGCACCATCCCAAATACAACAAAAACAGTTTGTTCATTTATCGCTCTTTAAATTGTTTCATTTAGTTTCATTGCATTATTCTTAAATAGTTTATTTAACTTGCTAAGTGTCCCTTCCAGTTTAAATTATTGTCTATAATCACTCCAAGAAATCGCTGACACCCTTTCTATTTCAAATTCATTAATCATTTGTTTTCCTTAAATTTAATGTTAGTTTATTCAAATCAAACCAATATTTAGCAGTACCATTTCTTTTTCCATTGTATCCAGAAGTTGTTTCAGATTGTCACCAGAACAAAATAAGTTTGTATCATCTGCAAATAATATCAATTTTAGTACTTTGGAAACCTCACATATATCATTAATGTATAACAGAAAAAGCAATGGGCCCAGCACAGAGCCTTGGGGAACCCCACATGTTACCTGCACCAATTGTGACCTGCAATTATCTATTTGGATATATTGATGCCTTTTCTCTAAATAATTACTTATCCAAGAGTGAGCTATCCCTCTTGCTTGCTTCATATTTTTTTTTTTTTTTTTTTTTCAGTTTCTCTTGTAAGATCTCTAATCTCCTTTTCTCTAGAAAAAGTCAAATGCTTTTTAAGATCTAAAAATACCCCAACTGTGTACTGTTTATTTTCTGGGGGCCCTGTTAAGATTCTTTTCATGGGGCCCAAAATCCTTAGCAGCACCCCTGGCTAAACTGTACATATTTACGAGTTACCCAATTCGTATTAATTCTTATGAATGACCTATCCCTGACCCCGCCCCTAAACCTACCCATCACTGGGGTTTAGAAAAATCGTACAAATTCGTACAAAGTAGCCAGCTTGTACTCACTCGTACGAATTGGTCGTGAGATAGCATTGAAGGATCTGTACTGCAAATCAACTCAATGTGACAATTATACGTTTACGCATGTTTCCTTTAGCCCTAAAAAAACAAAACAATGCAATGCATAATTCAAAATATGGTTAAAACATTCTATTAAAAAAATATTAAAACAATTTTGAGGTAAGGATAGTTGCAAACATCAAATATTCAATAAAAAAAACAAGTGTGGCAATCATGGCTATCACAAAGTTGTTATTCATTCATACTGATGTTAGAATTTTTCGTTGTGTGTGTGTGTGTTGTGTATTATCCCTTGAACATAACAAATGTGCTTTTCAGAGAGCCAGTGTTGCAATATACACATTTTTGTCATTTAAATTTTAGAAAGAACTGTCATTGGTATCAAAATAGTACATAAAATACTACCATACAACTGTTCAGATATTAATTAAATTTATTGATACTCTGCAATATGACATACATCTCAATCTCAATATGCTCTGCTGGAGAAGGCCTCTGGATAAAAGTTCATATTCATATTCTTAGATAGAATTTCAGTCTAAAAGGATCAGATATCAACAATCAGGGACACATGCAGTGATACAATCACACACATAATGTCT